CTGTTGTTTTTGTCTGTTGCAGCTACTCTTCCATCTTCTGGTGGGAGCAGAGCAGCCCAGTTTTCCTTGGGTCTCCCCTTGTGCCATCTGAGATCCAGGAGCGAGAATATGAAGTAGTGTAGTGGACTGAATTATGTTCCCCCAAAACTCACTGAAGCTTGAACTGTATCCCCCATGTTTTGTGTATTAGAAACTTAGCCCGGCACTGTGATGGTTAAGAGGGTGGAACATCCTATTATGGTAATGAAAGGTGGAGCCTTGAAGAGATGATTGGATTGTAGGGCCTGCCTAGTGAATGGATTAAATATGGTGGTCACGGGTGTGGTTCTGAGTGTTTTAAAAGAAGAGGAGTCTGTTTTGCTCTCTTGCTCTGCTTCCCCCATCTTGCAATGTGAGACCCCTGGGTCACTGTTGTCACTACCAGATGGACTTTGGACTTCCGAGCCTCAGAAACTGTAAGCAATAAATTTCACTTTTCCTTATAAATCACCCAGTTTCAGGTATTTTGTTATAAGCAACATAAATGGACTAATACAGAAAATTGGTACCAGAGAGGTGAGGTGTTGCTTATAACAAATACATGAAGATATGGAAGAGGCTTTGGAACTGGGTGTTAGCCAAAGGTTGGAGGAGTTTGGAGGACTCAGAAGAAGAAAAAAAGACGAGAGAGAGTCTGGAATGTCTTAGAGACTGGTTATGTGGTGGTGAGCAGAATGCTGATAGAAATACGGACTGTAAAGACCATTCTAAGGAGGTCTCAGATAGAAATCAGAAGGAGTTTTTCAGAAACTTGGGCAAAGATCACTCTTGCTGTGAACTGGCGAGGAACTTGGCTGCATTGTGTCCACGCCCTTCGACTTTGTGGAAGGTGGGACTTAAGAGTTGTGAACCAGAATGTTTGGCAGAAGAAATTTCCAAGCAGGAAAGCATTCAGGAAGCTGCATGGCTACTTGTAACAGCTTACGCTGAGTTATGGCAGCAAAGGCACAACATAAAGCCAGAATTTAAAAGGGAAGCAGAGTGTAAAGATTTGGAAAATTTGCAGCCTGGCCATGTGGTAGAGAAGCAGAGAGCATTTTCAGAACAAAAATTCATTGTTGTTAAGAACATTAACACAAAAGTATGGGATTATGAAGAGAAGGAGAAGTGGGCCCTGAAGGCTTTACAAAAGCCTCTGGGGCCAACCCTTCCATTTCAGGACCAAAGACCTAGGTAGACAAAATGGTCTTGGGGAACAGGCCTGAGGTGCCGTATGTGGGCTTGCTGCCCAGGACCACCTCAGGAAGCTGTTTCCAGCACCAGCACCCCAGCTGCTCTGGCTGCCCCAGCTGTGGTTAAATTGGCCCCAGGTGTGGCTGAACCCGCAGCTTTGGAAAATACAAGCCAGAAGCCTTGGCAGAGTCCACGTGGTGTTAGGTCTGCAGGCTCACAGAATGCCAGAGCTGTGAAGGCTTGGGAGCCTCCACCCCAATTTCAGAGGATGTATGGAAAAGTCTGGGGGCCCAGGAAGAGATCTGTCACAGGGGCAGAGTCTCCGCAGACAACCTTTGCTAGAGGAATGCCCAGTGGAAACGAGAGGTCAGAGTTGTAGCAGAGAAACCCCATCAGCTCCATGCCTAGTGGAGCTGGGAGAGCAGGACCACCATGGAGAACCCAGACCTGTAGAGCTACCAGAGTGGAACCCCAGCCTGGGAGAGCTGAAGTGTGGCCTGAGACCAGGAAAGCCATAGGACCAGAGCTGCCCAAGGACTTGGGGACCCAACCTCCACACCAGCATACAGTGGAGGTCGAACAGGGAGTCAAGGTACCTGATTTGCCAGCTTTGAGATTTAATGTTTGCCCTGCTGGGTTTTGTACTTGTTTGGGACCTGTTACCCCTTTTTTCTGGCCTATTTCTCTCTTTTTGATTGGGAATATGTACCCTATGTTTGTCCCACCATTGTATCTTGGAAATAGATAACTTGTTTTGAATTTCACAGATGGGACTTTGAACTTTGGACTTTTGAGTTGAAACAAGTTAAGACTTTGGGGATAAAATGAATGTATTTGTATGTGAAAAGGACAAGAGTTTTGCAGGGCCAGGAGCGGAATGTAGTGGATTGAATTATGTTCCCCGAAAACTCATTAAAGCTTGAATTGCATCCCCCAAGTTTCATGTACTAGAAACTTAGCCCCCACTGTGATGGTTAAGAGGGTGGAAAATCCCATTAGGGTAATTGAAAGGTGGAGCTTTGAAGAGATGATTGGATTGTAGGACCTGACTAGTGAATGGATTAAATATGGTGGTCAGGGGTGTGATTCTTAGGGCTTTAAAAGAAGAGGAGAGTCTGTCTTGCTCTCTCTTGCTCTCTCTGCTTCCCCCATCTTGCAATGTGAGACTCCTGGGTCACTGTTGCCACCACCAGATGGACTTTGGACTTCCCAGCCTCAGAAACCGTAAGCAATAAATTTCATTTTTCTTTATAAATCACCCAGTTTCAAGTATTTTGTTATAAGCAACATAAATGGACTAATACAGGTAGGCGGGCCAGAGCCCATGAAATGCAATTCTGAGACCTATGCTGGAAATACTGGGATTGTTGAGAAAACAGGCTACAAGTCTAGAGCTGCTGGGGCCATGTTGCTTGCTCCTGGAAAAAGTCTGAACGAAGCCAATTTAGAAGTGAATAGAGATGAGAAACAGAAACATGAAGCCCTGTTGACATCATGTGAACCTCGGCAACCAGCCATGTTCGAAAGGAGACCTACAATTCCTGTGTGATAATGACGATGACTTCTGCTCAGGCAGTCTGAGTACACTGGCACTTAAAAGCAGAAGATTCCTATGAATACATTTAAAAACATGCTTTGGGGGCCGGCCTGGTGGCGCACTGCTACAGTGCGCCGCTTGGGAAGCACGGCGGCGCTCCCGCCGAGGGTTCGGATCCCACATACAGACCGGTTCCCGCTCACTGGCTGAGCAAGGGGCGGGCGCAGCACCGAGGGTTGCGATCCCGTTGCCGGTCCCGGTCCGGTGCGGGTGCGACACTGAGGGTTGCAGTCCGTTGCCGGACACGAAAAAAGACAAAAACAAAAAACAAACAAAAAAACATGCTTTGAAAAGCTGAGTACTAACTTCTTGAGTCCTGCCTTCACTCCCAAGTCTCCCTCCAGCTACCGTCTTCTTTTTTCCTTTCTTTTGCAACCAAGCTCCTTAAGTTTTCTATAGTCAATGTCTTCACTTCTTTACCTCCCATTCCCTCCACCATCCTGTCATCTCAATGATGATCCCACCTCTCCATGAAATACTCTTGCGAAGTTACCAGCGACCTCTTTCCTGTTGCATGAACACACCCTTTATAGCCTGTCACACTGTTGAATGCTCCTGGCTCCTTCGAACACTCCACCAGCTCCTGGTTTTCCCACTACTTCTCTGACACCTTTCTGAACTGTCCTTCACCTACATGACCATCCATCCAATGCCAGTGTTCTCAAGACTTCCTTCTTAGCCCTCTCATTCTCTCACTCTTCCTGACTAATTCATCCACAACTTGTACTTACCATCAGTAGGCTACAACTCCAAAACATCCTCTGAACTCTAGACCCACATATCCAAATGCCTATCGACAGCTCTGTCTGGGTGTTCCACAGTCAGCTCTGCTTCCTCATGCTTAAAACCAAACTCATGATCTTCTCCCCCAAACCCCATTCCTACTCAGTCCTGTTGAGATGACGTCTTAAATACCTCTTCCATTTTTATATGTTACGCATTCAATACCTGTGTGTACAATGAATAAGTATGCAGGGGCAGATATTTCTATAATAGGTTAAAAGGTAATTCAGAAGTTTCTCAGATCCCATCTCTCTAGCCCTTGACTCAAATAATAGCAAAACTGTCTCAAGAATCATCATTGCCAAAGATTTCTAATCCCTGGTCCTTGCTGCTATCCCATTACTAATAGGCTTTCACGGAAGCATGGGGAACAACTTCAAGCTCTAACCACATGAAGAAAGAAAAGAGAAATACAAGAAGAGAAATTGAAAAAGACACACAGGAAGGAAAGGAAAGAAGGAATGAAAGAAAGAAGGTAGGGGCTCGAAAGAGGTGTGCTGGAGTGGACTGGTCAGTGGAACCCGCCGCCCTGGGCTGTACAACAGTGCTCTGTGCCAGGCACTGGAGCTGTGTTCTTCAGAGGAAAGAGGAGGGTGAAGACAACTCTTCAGAGCCTAGAAAAGTGCCTTGCACATGCATCCATAGTAGGTGTTCCGTGACTGTTGTATTGTCGCAGAGGTGACTAAAGTAAACCTCTGCCTCCTAGGAGGGGCTGGGGAGGGTCTGGCCAGCTCTTACTTGTGATACCTGTGACCGGCTCACCTGCTTTTGGAAACCGTCTCGATAACCATCACTGCCAAGGTTTCTAATCCCTAGACCTTGCATCTATCCCATTACTTACAGGCTTTCTTAGAAGCTCAGGAAACAACTCCAAGCTCTAGCTCCAGGATGAAAGAAAAGAGAAATACCAGAAGAGAAAGGATTTATGTTGGTCTTTATCAAGAGAACAGAGTACACAAGCAGAGGGAGTAGGAAGAAAAGGAGAGAGGAGGTGCAAGAATGGAAGTAGGAGGTGATAAAAAGTGGAATCTAAGCCAGTCGCATGAGACCGCATATTGTATAATTCCACTTATAGCGAATGTCCAAAATAGACAAATCTATATAGAGAGGAAGTAGATTAGTGGTTGCCGGGGACTGCTGGAAAATGGGGAGTGACTGCTAATGGGTAAGGGGTTTCTTTTTGTTCTGGAATTAGATAGTAGTGATGATTGCTCAACTCTATGAATATAATAAGCCACTGAATTTTATACTTCAAATTGGTAAACTGTATGGTATGCAAAGTATATCTTAATGAAGCTGTTAATCCTCTTTCCCACCTCAAAAAGAAGTAGGAGGTGAGAGGCTAGAAGAAGGTGAACACCTAGAATTAAGAATCACAAGTAGGCAAAGGAACACCAGGTCTACTCACCTCAACCTTCAGGCCTGCCTGGAAGCTGATGCCATCTGGGATGGTTGTCTGGAATTCAGCAATGGTGTAATACTCTTCCTCCACTTGGGGTGGGATGGGAGGCTTAGGCAGGTTGAGACCTCGAGGCTGGTGGGATTAATTAAACACAGTGCCAACTCTAGTGTAAATGTATTACCGTCATGCTGAAGTAGAGTGAGACTAAGGGACTGGGGCCCACAGTCACCCTTGAGGGGGTCCTGGTGGACCTATTTGGATTCTAAGGGAGAAAACAGAGGACCATTCAGATTGTCACCTCCTAGATGAGATCTCACTGGCCCTTCAACTTTTAGAGCAGTGAGAAGAAACATGGGATATTTGGCCATCATCATGAAAATTTGGGGTAAGATGATATTCTCTGAAATAGGAGGCACCAAGCGTTGGGGAAAGAACACAGCTTTGCGAGTCAGACCCATGTGGGTTGGAAATACTGATGATGGGTGTGACCCTGGGCAAACCATCTGCCCTTCTGGAGCCTCAATTTTATCTTCTGTAGAATGGGCATAGAGTCTCTACCTGTAGGGGTTCACTGCAAGTATTAAATAAGTTAAGGTAGTGAAGCACCCAGCACACTGCATGGCACCCTAGAGCTGCTCAATGAATTGCAGACACTAAAAAAAGCCTGTTTTTCAAAGAATTGGCTAAAAAGGTACCTACAGAATTAAAAGATGGAGTTAAAAGTGGAATATCAGAATGGCACCACAAACCATATTTGTGCATCATCCAAGCTCAGGCCTCAAGTTGCCTTATTTGAGAAGACGGGTCTAAGACAAAAAGAAGTGGGCTCAGGAAGCAGAGAGCAGGTTTTGAGGCCTAACTGTTACAAGTACACTCTGGAACATGGGCAAACTGTTTCACCTTCTTGGACCTCAGTCTTTCCACCTGTTAATGGGACTAGGACTCATACAGCCTGCTTCACAAGGCTGCTGTGCAGACAGGACAGAGAGCATCTTCAGAAAGGGTAAGGGGACAGCAGACATCCTGAGAGCCATCAGGTCAAGGACCAGCTCCCAGGTAGCAAGGATCCACTTACAATGGTCATATCCCGGCGAGGAGGAGGTCTCTGCCTCATCTTTGGTGATCCTATGGAGAAACGAGACCTTATTTCACTCATGTGCAGAGGTCTACAGATAAAATTCCTGAGGTAGATGCTGGGGAAGATCTACTCCCTCCTGCAGAAGATTGGCATAATGCTCTGTGCGAGAGTTAGCATGCTGTTGCGACCTTTCCACAAGAAGAGCCTGATCGGTAAGGAACTGCTCATGCTTGGCTCAGGACCCACTACCAACATGGCTTTCCCTTGATCTTTCCTACACAGGAATGAAAGGAGACTGTGCTGCATCCTCAAAAATGGAAAGCTTCCCAGGGAAGGCAAAAAGTGTATGCTTCAGACTAACACAGAGATGGGTCCCAACCTAGGTCTGAGGCTCACTGGCTTCTGGCATTGGACAAATTATTTGTCTCTGAGCCATAAGGCACTCACTGGTAGAACAGGCATAATGTGTACCTCCCAGGGGCAGCAGTGCAGGTGAAAGTAAACAACACCTGTGAAGCTCTTGGCGTGCGGTAGGTGTGTGCTTTGTTTTGTGCTCTAGAACAAATCCAGACTAAACCACACATAAGCAAACTGAACCAAACACACATGGCCTGATGACTTCAGGGGTTTTTACTCTGGAGTTGGGCTGCCCTAGCGCTGGGTTTCAGAGTCAGGAGAAAGACAACTTTGCAGTGGTCCAAGACTCCTGGTTAAAAGCTTTTGAGGAGGTCACCCCATATGTAGCCAGAGCTGATTCAGCATGGGTCCACACACAGGGATAGTTTGGCAATTGAGGTGTGGAGGAGACTGCTAAGCCTTCAAATACTCATTTCCTCTTTTATTAGAATACATAGCAGCAGCCTTTAGCTGCTTATAGAAAGACTATATTTTCCAGACTCCCTTGCAGCTAGATATTACCATATAACTAAGTTCTGGCCAATGGGATGTGAGAGAACACGGAAAGCATGTAGCTTCTGAGTTGCGTGCTCCACTTCTTCTCCCTGCCTGCTTTTCATTGGCTGGACTAGTGGCAAGCCGTCCTGGGCCAGGTGGATGAGAGCAACACAAGAAAGATGCAGTGTCATGAGACTCCTGACCACATGGAGTTGCCATATCAGCCCTGGACATGTACATGGACTGTTCTGTGAGAAAGAAATAAACATCTAAATTATCTGAGCCACTGTTATTTTGTGTGTGTGTGTGTGTGTTGTGAGGGTGTTTTTGTTTCAGCATCTGAACCCACATATTAACAAAGATAGGGGGTTTCAGGTTTTCATTTACTCCTCTAGTGGTAATGGGAATCCACCTATGCTTTTGGCCATGACAGATTAGAATCACAGAAACTTGGGGCTGGCCTGAAGAAATCCTGCCATGGCATATGAGAAAACATGGTCAGTGTTTTCTCAGGGCAGCTAAGCAGACAGTATGAAGCTTGGTTGAGAGACTCAAGAATTTCATTGCCACTTGGCAAAAACAGCTGAGAGAGGCAGCGACCTCATCTCTTTGGGTAGTTGGAAGTCATTTCTCAAAAGATTCTACGTGCCCTGCATGACTAGGACAGGATCACAGGCACTGTGCTTGAGGCCTGAGTTCTGGGTACAATGCAGACAACAATAATGAACCCTACTCTCAGGTGTGTTGAGAACATTAAATGACAAAATGTGTATGGGAGGCTTTGAAAATCAAGATGGGTGAAGTACTGTTGTTGGAGTAAACTGAACACAGGGTTCACTTTGCTTCCTCTGGCTCAGAAATGAAGCCAATGTGGAGGAGTGGAGAGAGCATAGGCACTGCCTGGGTTCAAGTTCAGGCCCCACTGTTTACAGCTGGGTGGCCTTGGACACCACTTTATATCTCTGACTCCTAATCTGTAAAACAAAAGTAATAAGTCCCTCAAAGTTGTTACAGGAATCAATGAGACTAATTAGAAGATTACTGGCATACAGTAGTTGCTCAATCATCCTAAGGTAGTAGAAAAAACACGACCTAGGGTACAGAAGCCATGCCTCTCAACTCAGATTCTGCAACTCGCTGGTTGAATGATCTGGAACAAGTTACCCAGGGGTTCTGAGCTTCTGTTTTCTTATCTGCAGGATGGTGGGCGGCAGGGCTGTTGTGAGGATGAGGGACAATATGCGGGAGGCTCTAGGCACAGAGCTGGCATGTGGTAGACTCTCAGCTGTTGGGAGCTCATGTGGGTGTCACTCACTCTGTTTAATGTCGCCTTCAGGCACTGCGCGACCTTCAAACCGGCCATCCCTCTGGTTGTTGAGCAGCTCCTTCTCCTTGCCCACTGCGTTCTGCTGCCGGGACACACCATCCAAATCGAGGGCACCCGAGTGGGCAGATGAGCCAGGGCCCAGCTTTGGGGGTAAGGGTTCCCCACTGCTCTTCTTTAGGTAGGAGGCAGGGGCCCAGCCTTCTTTGCCCTGGTACCTGGGGGGAGAAGGAAGGAAGCCAGTCAGTCAGGTCTGCCATGGGAAAAAGCCATGCTTTACTGTGGATCACACTTCAGGTCTCTGATGGCAGGAATGCTGGGTCATCCCTGCCCAGGGCCAGAGGCGGGCACACTGCTCGCTACCTCCTGAGGAAGCCTAAGCCCTCAGCTTGGCATCTGAGGCCTTTCCAACCTGGCCTCTGCTTGCACCTCTTACAGAATCAGTATGTCCCACCCACCCTGCCAGCCTGCAGTCTCCTAAGCGCACTATTGTTTTTCACTCCCACCAAGCCCCTGCTCTTGGCAACCCTCTTTCTGAAAAGCCCCTTCCCCCCTCTCCTTCCTGGCAAGCACCTACTCCTCTTTCCTGGCTTTGCTTAACAGAGAATGAGGCCCTCTCTCCATGGTGCGCCTGCTGTCTCCTGCACATACCACAATCCTAGCACCTATAACACCCAATGACACTTGGCTGTGGTGATCCTGTCTCCCCAATTAGAACGTAAGCTCCTGGGGGCAGGGACTGCAGCTAAGTCACCTCTATGTCAAGAGCCCTGGTGCCAGTGAGTTGAATGAGGAAACAAAAGGACAAGAGAACAAACTGCCAGTGGGCCTGGCACAGGGAGAGCAGATGCAAAACAATTACAGTTGTTATCCCCTTATAGTCATTGCTGTCATGATAACAATGACGATAACAAGAACTGGCATTTAGTGGGCACTTACCGTGTCAGTGCTGTCCTGAGCACTTTATAGCTATTGATGTATTTAAATCCACCCAATCCTGGGAGGTAATAGGTACTATTGAGGTCTGTTTCACAGACAAGGAGACTGAGGCACAGAGAGGGTTAGTACCTTGCCCAAGATTACAAGCAAGTATGTGGCAGAAATGGATTCAGACCTAGGTATTGGGCACCACTTGGTGCCCTTAATCTCTGTGCTTTGCTGCCTCCTTCCAGCAGCCCCAGGTGGCATAGACAGGGCAGGGCTCCATCCACATTGGTTAACTGAGATTAAACTCATTCAGATGGAAATGGAGCAGGTTGGGGACTGGGTTCAGGGCTTGCCAAGGGTCAGCTGGCTGTCACTGAACTGCAGAGTGACTGAGACCCTGACAGAGCAGCTCACTGTCCCTCCCAAAAGGAATTAAATGAGTTAACAATCACTTAATTCTGCACATGACAGAATTCAGTTTAATAGCAATGACCAGAGAGGTCAATCTGGGCCAGAGGTGTGCTGGAGAGAGCTCGCACCAGCTTGTGAGAGCCACTTGTGCACATCTTCCCAACTCCACATTTAGTGACATCACACTGATAACCTGAAGTTGGCCAGGGTGGGAGTATTTACACCATGGCAATTGGCAAACACCGTAACTCAAGTATTTTCCCTTAGAGAACTGGTTGTTAAACACTTACCAGAACCCACAAAATAGATGCCCAAACATTTGGGGAAAAGCTGAATAGACCCAATTGACTGGAGATGATACATGGCAGGGCCAAATCTCTTGTCATCACTTTTAGAACTAATAGCACCGGGTTTCAATGAAAAAAAGGTCCTTTACAACAGGAATCAAATTTATAAGGAGGTAGAGATCTGCAGAGTTTAGTGTCTATCAATTTTAAAAAATCTGCTGAGAGGGCATGTCCTAATTAGAAAATGTTAGGCTACATACAACCCACACCCTCAGTATGAGACAGTTCATTGTTTGGGGACACTGAACCATAAGCAGAGAGGTGACACGCAGTGGTGGGCTTAGGGGTGAGAAGGTATGAGCTCCCATTCTTGCTCTGTCACCAAACCTTCAGATGACTGCAGCCCTCACTGACATCCTGAACACAACCTCATAAGAGACTGAGTCCAATTAAGCCACTCTCAAATTCCAGAGCCACTAAGTTTGGGGATAATTTGTCATGTAGGAAAATAACATATTACTTAATGTATGTTTGCTATCATGATCATTACTCTTTCAAATTTCAATTCTGAGATCCCCTCCCTCAGGAAGGCATCCTGACCCCCAGGCTGAGGAGCCCCTCTTCTGCCCCTTCATTTTCCAATGCACCACCAACCACCCTGCTCTGTAATTGTTTATGACTTTGTCTTCTGTGCCTGTTGGTGGGAACTTCTGTCTTGTTCACTGCTGACTCCCCAGTTCCCAGAAGAGGGCTTGGTCCAAAACAGACTCTTGGTATGTGTTTGTTGAATGAATGAGTAAATGAATGAACGTAGTGCCACATGCTCAGTCCAGTGTGAGTGGCCCTGCAATACATCATGGCGCAGACACCGAGTCACAGTGACCTTGGCTTCCTCTATAGCCCTAATTTCCTGTGGCCACAACCTGCCTACTGGGGTGATCAAGGAGGGGTTCCCCAGACATTACTAAAACTGGGCAAGGTGGGATGAGTTGGTCACCCCACCTGCCTATGAGGTTCTGATTTCATCACATAGGTGAAAGAGCTGTGAAGAAGCATTTGAAATGCAGGTTTCCTGCTTTTACTATTGAACTCTGAGGGATGAAGGCAAGTTATTGGCCCTAGGATGTGTTACTATTGATGTGATGTTTATGCACCATATTGGTCTCAGAGTGGGGCCGAAGCAGACGATCACTCACATGAGGTGGCCTCAACCTCCAGTTACTGCTTATGAGAAATGTCTGGAAGGGAAGACTGGCCTTGCTGAACATCTGGAGGTAGAGATCAGCCACTGCTATCTGTAGTTTGGCATGTCCGGACAAGGTTCTGCTTATTATGAACTTTTAGGGAAGGATATGGGTAGGGAAGGAGGCCAAAGAACACAGAGGAAAAGTATCCTTTAATGGCTCAGGCAGAAACTTCACCCATCTGCAATCACTTACAGACCTCTGTGAAGCAGGAGCCCACGTGACCTGAAACCCACCCAGCTAGAGCAGGAGGCAGCGTAGGTACCTGATCTTCCACCAGCCTTCCAGGTTTTTCTGGATGACCTCCACCACGGCCCCTCTCTCCAGGTTCATTTCATCCTGGTCACGAGCTGTGTACGGGTAGATGACTGTGTACTTCTCCTCTGTGGGGACAAAAGGATATGGAGTACAAAAAGGACAATCAGAGTCCCAGGACGCTGACTGTGATCCACACAATGCCCTGGCCTGTCAGAGGGAAGATTTCCTCCAGAGATTTCTGTGCACCTCCCAGACCTCCGGTAGCTCCGGATGGCCCTGTGCAAGCATCTACAGGACACAGGACAACAAAGGGCAGGTCTCAATCCCTCTGAAACCCCTCAGTGTCGCACATTCATCTTCACCTTCCTTAAATTTGTGCTTCTAGGTCATGTCCTTGACCACCTTATGCAATACCCCAACCCATGGCTTCCTCATTCCCCTACCCAGGTTTATTTTTGCCCCATACCTGGAATTACCTTCTGACACAACATATTATCTACTTATTTATTGTGTTTCATGCCTGTTTCCCCTGCTGGAATATGAACTCCATGAAGGCAGGGGTTTGTCTGTCTTGTTCATTCCTACGTCTCCAGCACTGGGCACGGTACCTGGAATATTTAGTAACCGTTTAGTAAATTAGGCAATGTGTAGTACCTGAACAAGTCCTGAAGGCCTGGTGGGAGCCACCTTGCTCACACAGAAGGGGTTAAAACCCTCTATGGCTTGTCGCCAGGTCTCGCTGGTGGAGAGTTCAGGGATAGGCTGAACTTGGGCAGCTGATGGTTCCAAGCTGAAATCACTACCAAGGAAGGGACAGCTAGCAATTTTATTACCTAGCTGGTAACTGATCTTCATTTTTCATTATGTTCCAGCCCCTGGATCCAACCATGTTTGAAGCTTCAATTTTCATTGCCTTCCACCCCACTCTCTGTGGTCCCCCCTCCCTGCCTCCAGCTGCGTCCCTCCCACAGCAGCCCCTGAGGGCCTGGGCTCGGCTGGGAGGGCTGGTCATTGTCACACTCAGGCAGGGTGCTCCAGAAAGCAAGGGACCAGCTCCCATCCCCAATGTCATCAGCCCTGGCTGCTGAAATGGAGAAAAATGGATGCATGTCCCAGGGCGGCCAGCAAGGAGAGGGGAGGGCGTTCCTGTTTTGGTTACATTTCAGCCCCTAGGGAAGTGACTGAGCCAGCTGTGGCCTGGTGTCCATGGTTAGTATGTTAGTACACTCTATCTCTTTAGGAAGACACCACAGACTGTCCATGGCCTGCCCAGCTGGTGCAGAGGGAGGCGGAAACACACAGGGCGTTTGTTTATTTATTGATCTAGCCTGCTGACCTGCTCCACAGGGGCTGAGCTGACTCACGTTGCATATATCCTGTGCTCAGCAAAGTCAGCTGCCGCGCTCATTCATGGAAGCCGCAGGGTGGGGTGCTGGGCTTAGGGGGGAGGGGAGAATTCAACCCCCGGGATGCACAGAAGTCCCGTTTGGTCTGGAGAGAACAGGGCACTGCTGGATACTACGCCAAGTGCAGTCAGTCCCGAGTCCTGGACTCCTGGGTCCCCACACCCTTTGGTTGCATTGCACAGAAGGATTCTCTACCACCCAAGGGGTCCTCTCTCAGATCCATGGGATGCTCAGCAATTCCAAACAAAGCTAAGGGTGGAAGACTTTGTAGACTGTACAATGGACACCTGCCAAAGCTTCCTTTCTAGCATCTATTTGCCCTGCTATGGTGGCACTACCAGCCTCGGTCTACATGGTTTGGGTGAGGCTGAGCTCAACACCTCCTAGAGGGACAGGATGGTTGTGTAACCCTGCCTGGCAAAGTGCTGCAATCCCCCTGGCCACCATGATCCAGGAATGGCAAGTAACCCAAATGGGTCAGTAGGAAACAATCCTGGGACTTGTGTTGAAGGAGAAGCTCTTTCTTTTGTGGATGTCCCTGAATGGTACCTGGAACTACTGTCACCATGAGAGAATGGTGCCAAAAAGGTAGAGAACAGAGCAGAAAGGTGGCGAGAGAGTGCTGGGTCCTGATGACATTTTCAGACCCCCAGATCCAGCTATGCTTGAAGCTAGATCTGCCCTGGGCTTTTCAGTGCTAGTTGTCAATATACTTCCTTTTTTACCTAACCTGGTTGACATGGGTTTCTTTCCCTTGCAACTCAAATGAGCCTAATGAAAGAAATAGGTCACTGGTTCAGCATTATAAAAGCCACAACCTGGGAAAAATCCAAAGAGAACCCCAAAGCTGAGAAAAACCCCAAGCTCGCTCCTCCCAGACCCACATGCCAATACACATACACACAAGACAGACAAGATCATTGTTTCTCACATGCAACAGGCATGGGCAGTCCCAGAGCAGGGAGGCTCATGCAGATGCAGTAACCCAGCTCCAAACACCAAACGGGGAAGAAAACTCCGAGGTAGGCACCTTGACGCCAGCTGATGGCATACAAGTCCCCCAGAGTCCGGTGGCGGCCCATGGGCCGGGGCAAAGACCAGTACCTCCATGAGACTGGATGGGAAGCATGTGGAGGGGAAGGGCAGAAGGCAGAAATAAGAAGAAGGCACGTCCAGTGTCTTGATGCAAAGGGGCACCAAGCCCACGTTCCCACTCAGGAGCTCCAGGTGTCTTACAAAGACCAAGTTCCTGAGTATTAACCTTGAATTTGAGTGAAGAGGCATCCAGCACACTTAATTCTATTCCCAGCATGATTATAAAAAGGCACTAAGAGAAAACCTCATAGTGGAGGGAAGAAAAATGAACAAAAAATGTGGTCTCTCTCCTATCTTCTATTTGCAGAATCTTGGCAAGAGTCTCTATATTTCAGAGCCCGTTTCCTAATCTGTAAAATGGGGACAATAACTGGTCTCTTACAGAGGCACGCCCACAGTGGTCGTCATTAACTTGTGTGAGGGAGCTATAGTTTCCATGTAGTACGCCACTACCCCTTCATCTGGGTCGATTCTTGTAGTACCCTAGTGTTAGCCCAGCCCCTTGTGCCTGGAAGCCCTCACAAGCACAGAGCAAACCAGCAGACACGTTACCCTCAGGGTGTGGGCCCTAATAAAACTAAATGCATAACCACATACAATTTTTTTTGCTAACCTTTGAACATAGAAATATCACCCTTCTGTTCTCCCTCTTTTCTAATAAATATATACTTAATGTGTCTTTATGCTTTCTCAAAATAGTCAACTAAAAGCCAAAAAAACTCAATCCTAGGGAAAGTATGGCTGGTATGATAACTGTTCCTGGTTATTTATTGTTCCAGATTCTTTGCATGTGGGATTTTTTTTTTTTTTAAATCCCATAATACAGATATCATCATTTCCATTTTTAGATAAAAAGGCTGAGGCTTAGAGAGGTTAAGTCACTGGCCTGAGATCACTCAGCCTGTAAGTGGGACAGCTGAGATTAAAATTCAGGTCTGTCTGGCTCCCAAATCTGTGTTTATTAGTGAAGGTGAACTCATATTCTAGTTTTAGAAATGTTTCTAGGGGGTAAAGGGAGTTGGTTGGAAGCCTTAGTATTTCTGGCATGGCAGGAATCACCATTCAGGACTCCTGTAGGCAAGTTTCCCTGGGAAACAGAAGCATGTGTGTGGGTGGGTGGAGGGGGTCACCCAGTATTGGCCATTTAAACTAACAGAGAAAGCAGAGATCTTTAAACAGATGGGGTCAAATGTCTTGCAAATGAAATAGAAGCAGCTCCAGCATCTTGGCCACAGGAATAATTCTAGGGAGAAACAGTGAGGCACTGACAGTAACAGGCTAGGGTCCTCCTGGGGTCCCATGAAGCTTTAGCCAGGCTCACTCAGGCTGGCTCCCAAAGGCTCCTAAGAAAGGGCAGGCTTGCCCTTCAGCCCTAATCCCATGGCCTGGCTTCATGTTCACAGGCTATGGAGCCTGAGCCAGCGAGCTACTGAGACTTGGAGGCAGAGGCTGAAGGGAAGGGACTGGGTGAGCAGGCAACCCGGTAGGGGTGACAGCTGCGCAGGTTCTCCCCAGCACGCAGAGGTTCGAACTCCTTCCTACCTTCTTCAGGCTGTAGGGAAAACTCATCCTGCACCCCGTCCTGCCCTTCCAGGCAGGTCGCAGGGACCCAGCCTTGCTCTTCAGCGGTGCTGACGAACCACCAACCTGGGGAAACGACAGTGCAGACTGGCATTAGTTGGGTCAAGTGTGAAGCCTGGGGTGCAGAATATAATATATTCAGTCACTGTATCAGTTAACACCAGGATAAGGCTAAAAAGCTACCATTTTACTGGTAGAACACAACTACCCCAGGCTACCAAGAAACTTGCTTCTGAGCCTGAGACAGGGGAGGGAAAAGTCATCCTAAATGATAAGAATAAAGAATATTCAAAGTTACTGGATGTGTGAAGCACCAATTATTTCACTTGCATTATCTTATGTAATCTTTACATTATCATCCCCATTGCACAGATGAGGAAACTGAGGCTCAAAGATATGAACAGACTTGTCCATGTTCCCATGGCTTACGACAGAATGGTGATTTGTTCCCAGGGCCATCTGAAACTGAAGGCATTGCCCCAGTAACTTATCTGAGACACCGACTTAGCATTTGTTCATGTCAAGAGAAATCTGGCTACAGATGTAACTGCTTGAGAGGCCTCTCACCCAGACTCAGGTAGTCCTAAAAAGAAGGACTTTCTTGGGGCCTGTGGTAGGTAGAAATGACACCCTTACCAACCCAAAGATGTCCGTGTCCCAATCACAAGAGGCTGCAAATATATTAAGTTACACGGCAAAGGGAAATTAAGGTTGCTAATCTCCTGACTTTAAAATGGGGAGATTATCCTGGATTATTTGGGGTGGGACCGAGGTAATCCCAAGGATCCTTAAATATGGAAGAGGGAGGCGGAAGAAGTCCGAGGGAGATGTGGCTGTGGAAGAAAGGCACAAAGAGGTACAACATCACTGGCTTTGAAGATGGAAGAAGGGGCCACAAGCCAAGGAATGTAGCTGGCTTCCAGGAGCTGGAAAAGGCAAGGAAAAAGATTCTATTCAGAACCCACAGAAGGGAATGCAGCCCTACCAATCAATACCTTGATTTTAGGCCAGTGAGGCCCATTTTGGACTTCTGACCTAAAGAGCTTTAAGATAATAAATATGTGTTGTTCTAAAATACATGTTACAGTGACTGGTAATTGTGTGGGTGTGAACAAATGGAACTCTAGAATTGATAAACCTATGGAAAACCAGAAATTGGAAAATATGTCCTATGCCTTCATAAGGATTCGTATTTGTAAATATTTTTATGGGAATAAGGAAAAAACGACAACAACAGTAAACTTGTCTGCAGCACTCGAGATGAGCCAGACACTATCCTGAGTGCTTTACATCCACTGCTGACTTGCTAGATCCTCACAACAGCCTTATGAGGTAGGCAATATTACTGTCCTCTTTTTACAGATGAGGAAGCCGAGGCCCAGAGACTTGCCCAAGGTCACAAAAATAGAAAGTGGCAGAGCCAGAATTTGGACCCAGGATGTCTTTGAGCTCTTACCCACTTACACTAGTGCCTCATGCACTGCTTTGGGGAGAGTAAATTGGAACAGCCACTGTTTGGAAGCAGGTAATTTGGCAGTATCTTAGAATTTAAAATATGTGTATTTTATGGCCCAGCAGTTCCACACTGCAGTATCTAACCTAAAGAAACACTGACGTGCACACAGATGTGTAGCCCTGTTGATACTAGAGAAAAATGGCTTATTCAGACATCGAATACTAGGCAGATGTTAAAAAGAGTAAGAGCTAGATGTTGACTGAAAAATAAAGCACACTGCAGATCAAAATGTGTAGAATGACACCATTGGGTTTAAAAAAACCCCCACAAAATTATACACACACACACAATACTATGTACATATGTGTATGTATGTGTATATACGAGGGTACTTCAAAAAATTCACAGAAGGATTTGCATTATCCTTTAATTCCATATTTCCATGAACTTTTGAAGTACCCTTGTATATGTATGTTTGAGTATATATGTGTGTGTGTACTGTATGTATACACACACATATATACAAATGTGTGTACATAAAATTATCAAGAAGGATTCATACCTAACCAATAGAAGGGCTATCTGCGGCTTGGAAAAGGGACTAGGGTTGAACTTGGTAGAAAAAATAGAGTTTTGCTTTATCATTAATGTTTTTTTTTTTTTTTTTAATTTTTTTGGCAGCTGGCCGGTATGGGGATCTGAACCTGTGACCTTGAAGTTACAAGGCTGTTCTCTAACCAACTAAGTCACTGGCCAGGCCTTATCATTAATGTTTTAAGAAGAGTTTATACATGCATCACTTGGGGTAAGTAAAACACAATGAAAACTAAATGCTGCTAAGTTTGTTGGCGACCTGAAGATTTGACCATCCACACCCACCTTCTTTTTGCTGCACATACCAGCATCTGGACATAACAGCATCCCACCCTGGCCCCTACTCTTCTTCCCAGCACCCCATCCTTCCTGACTTCACTCAAACTGGCAGCCCAGGGGAGTGGACGCTCCCTTCCTTATGTCCCCATGGTGTGTCCTAGCCACACCACACAATCTGCGTACTCTCATTTTCAGGAAATAGAAAGTCACATGGCCGTAGGGACAGCTGGAATTAGTTTGAAAGTCCAGCTCTGCAGCCTGTTATGAGATCCTGGGTGAGTGACAGAGTCACTTGGAGTCTTGGTTTTTGGCTGTGAAGCAGGGATAACAATTCCTATATTGAGTAATTAAGAAGGTTTAGTTGGCTAATGCTGGTCTCATGACTAACATGACAGCAACATGAACCAGATGATGCTAGAAAAACCATTTTTCCCCTATTCTTTGGATCTTAACTAGCCATTGGGGTATCACAGAGATTGGCCCCCTAATGGTATTACTGGCCGATTTCACATTTTAGCCACAACAAACCTAGTGTGTTTATGCTGCTTCTTCATTCCCTGCTCCCTGCTTTTTGTCTTCAGTGTTGTGAGATGGCTGCTTTGTGGCTAAGGAAGGCCAAAGGGAAAGAAACCCACATTGTTTGAGCACTTACTGTTTGCCAAGCATGAGTTTCGGTACTCTGTACATCATCTCATTTAATTCTTATAGTACCTCCTTGGAACAGAAGTTTTCTATCTTTTATAGACGAGAAAATTGATGGTCAGAGAAATGAAGCAACCTGAATGGCTCAAAATGCAGATTTCAGATGGAAATCCAGGCTAAGTGTCTCAGTCATACCATATTCTGTCCCAGACACAGCCAGTGTATGTGACCAGTGATACCTGGGACGTGCAGGTGGGCTGAGGAGACAGGTCGTGTGTCTGTCCCACCAGAGCTCAGAGCTAATAGAGTCTTCTTGAAGACTCCCATGGGTAGTAGTCAAAGGCAAATCAAAGGAGCAAATTTCCAGTGGAATTCTCGACTGTCTCTATGAGTGCTTTAAAACCAGAAGGAATGTTTATGAAATGTGAACCTCAGAACAAATGAGTAACATCTGACCCAACCGGATGCTGACGAGTCGTGAGCACGTGGGATATGTGAGCACTGGGATCAAACAGGGGAAGCTTTCCAGGAGGTCCTCAGCTGGACCTGTGGGAACTGACCAGCTTGGACTGACTACTGCAGTTTCTGAGTTTCCAAGGGTTTCCTGTCCTAGGGACTCGGTGACAGTGTGGTTTCAGTCCCTACCTGACTCGTTCTTCTCGATGATGTCCACCACCTGCCCCATGCTGAGGCTGATCTCTGAGCTCTCCTGCTTCTGGTAGTTTGCCACCACCACATACTGCTCCAGGACCATGGGGTCCACTGAGGTCAGGTCACCCCCTAGGGACAGCAAACACAATCAGACATCACGGCTGGCCACCACCCATGCATGAAGAAATAGGAACCGGGGAATAGGGTGGGTCAGGAGGACATTCCAGATAGAGAAAAAAGCTGTTAAAGGACTTGTCCCAAGGGTGATCTCATTCATTCATTTCGCTCATTCACTCAATCACCGAAATTTACCAAGTACCTACTATGTGCGGGTATTGGGGGTTCAGAGTTGATTAAGATATAGTACCTGAAGAAGCTGACAACCTAGTGGGAAAGCTCATTCATTCATATTCATCCATCTGCCATTATCCATCCATCCATCATTCATCTAACCAAATATCTGTCCATCCACCATCCATTAAACCATCTATCCATCCATCATCCACCCAAAATCACTCAACTATTAACTCATGAAGTCACCAGTTATGTTCCAGACACTCTGTTAGGTGCCATGCATACAAAAGTGAATGAAACAGCTATGACTCCCAGCCTCAAGAAACAAAATCTAGTCAGAAAGACGGACAAATACACAAGTATATATAATCGATAAGTATAGAGAATTATATAAGCACTAGTTTGTGATAAATGAATTGCTGGGAACAACCAGGAAGCCAGGACAGAGAATGAATAGGAAAGACAATGTTATATTAAATGGCGTGGTCAGCAAGAGCTTCCTGAGGAGGTGACATAAAGCAGAGACTGAGAGAGGAAGAGGAGGCAGGAGAACGGGGATAAAGCCTTTGCATTCTCTGGGGACCTACAGCACTGCCAGACACATAGCAGGTGCTTAATAAATACTTAATGAATACCCGTGTCTGTCTTCTTCACTCAGTATCTAGTACAGGTGCTCAATAGACATTTGTGGAGTGAATGAACAAAGGATGAATGGAGACTTCTGGAAACTCTTCCTGCCCTACACAGGCTCCAGGCCTCCTCTTGGGAGCAGGTAGTGCTGAAAGTTGTCTTTAAATACTGTCTTATGAGCAACGAAAGACTACTCCTTCTTGCCTATGAGTAGGAATGGAGGCTTCAATTGAGTCAGAATCCAGTTAAGTAGAGTTACTCTGGCTAAAAAGTTTACCTGTTGCCACCCAGTTTTAACACCTGATGGTGGCACGGTTGTACCACATACAATTTTAAGGACTCAGATGAACAGAATGGTCTGTTCATTTCTTCATGAACTCTCCTAACCACTATGCCAATGGGATTTTGCAGAACTCTGAGCAGTGAGAGAGTCAGGGAATGACAGGACTTACTGTGAGCAAGACACAAAGCCAGGAAATGAGAAGGGCAAAGAGCAAAGGTTAGGACTCTGGGCTGGCATGAGCAGATCAGAGACTGGCACAGGGCTCAGGGCTGGCACTTCCTCCAAAACCCTCTCTGGGGCTTTTAGACTGTAGTTCCCTGCCATGAAGTGGTTCAGAGAAGAGTGCATGGAGTTGCTTTTTCAGCATAACTGCTTCCAGAGAAAGTTGCTTTCATTTTACTTAGAGCACTCAACTTATAAAAACTGATGAAAAAAAGAACCCAATTCATCTGATCTAACAGGAGTATCAACCTAGGCTTCAGGCCATTCAGGTGTTAAGTAGAGACACCTACTGGTGGAGTATGATATTGCGGCCAAGCTCTATGAGTATAATGCATGAGTCCCAAATACCCAAAAGTTGAGGCCTCACGGCTAAATTCTAGGAGGTGCCAAGTGTGAAATCAAAGGATTTCTAAGCAAGGAGTATCATTATCATGGCCCAGCAGGAGATATGAGAGATGGAAGAGGTCAGGAGAGAGATTTCACAGTGGAAGGGCGATTTTATCATTAAGAACTATAAAATATTCTTAAGAGGTATGGTGCCTAATCTACCACAGAAGTTTTCTATCTGGGCATTTTTTTCCTCATAATGACATGTCTTGAATTTTTAAAATGATGAGTAATGGTAAAATGAGATTTTCCTCCCAGAAATTCACTATATTGCCAGGCTTGTTGAGAGTCAATAAATAAGAGAATATGTACATCAAATTTTCAGGAAGAAAGAAACTCCTTAAATAATCAGATGATCTATTAAATTTTTATGAGAACACTTCTTTCCCTGCAGGATGAGCAGAATTTGAGACCACACTAGCCAAAGTCTTCAGGAGCCAGCCAATCATGACTGAAAATGCTGGGGACAGATAAGTCCTCTCTAACTGAAGAGCTCTGGCACAGAAATCTCAGGAGTTAGTCTGTCAACCTTAAATCTCCTTAAAATTCAACCAAGAAGGCTGATTCTAAAATAAAGGAAATGTTAAAAGTCCAGATAAAAAATAAGGCTAATCCCGGCAGAGGTTCTTGGTCTGAATGAAGAAAGATGCTATTTTCCACCCAGTTGAACTATAAATAAACCTGTCCCCCATCATTGCAGGTGAATGATGTAATAACGGTCACCACAAATTAGAGCTTCTTCTCTCTTTTCCAGACAAGTCCCCTCATCAAGCCTGTTCAGACCGGACACTTGTTTTCACAAACCAGAGCTGTCTCTTTCCTCTCTTCCCTCCCACCCATTTCTTCCAGGGAAAGTCTCTACACTCAAAACCAGAAACTCCATGACCAGTCCCAGAGTGGCAGCTCTGCTCTTTTCTAAGAAACATATAATTATCCTCAGGGCTCAAGAACTATTTGCAGCTTTAGCAGGATACCACGGCTCTGGCCAGTATCTATTAAACCGGAAAGTAGAGCTGTAAACAGACTGGTTGGGAAAAGACCAGAGTTAATTCCAGACACCATACCTTGAGACAAAGAGATCAAGTTCCTCTTCATTCTTCCCTCCAAGAATGGCCATTGGGTCTGTAAAGCTGACCACAGACCCTGTACCCAGGGGGCGGTAACGGGACCAGAGGTGTTGAATTTGGAATTGCTACTGAAGCTGGTCAGGGATACCATGTGCTTTAAGTAATAGTAGCAGTAGTAATAAAAACAGCAGTAAACATATATCACTCACAATGTGCCAGGCACTGTTCTAAGTGCTTCACACATATTATTATAAATCCTATAATAATCCTACAAGGCAGATTACTGTTATCACCCCCATTTTACAGATAAGGAAACTGAGGCCCATAAGAGGAGGCATCCTTTATCCTCGTCAACCCTCTCAAACTTCCTGGCATCCTAGAAAATTAAGGAACTTAGAGTTCTGGAAGTTCTAAAGCCCGCATTGGCTTCATGTATGGGATGGACTAGTCTTTGCAGATGTGGGGGATGAACTTGGGTGGTGAGAAGAAGTTGGGCTGTTAATCTAAATTTATAAACCCCAGGCCTGTGGGAACTCAAGGGTTCCTCTGTGCATACCCAAATTCCCACCTTCCCTTTCTTCCGCGATTGCTTTCAATAGAAGAGTTGTATTGTCCGGGGAACGGAAAGATTGTTAGGAAGATAACTGGCTTTAGGGAGGAAGGGAATTTGGGAACTGCTTGATATGCTCTTATCACTGCCAGAAACGGTGGCTGAGGGCAGCTGGGGCCTGCTGCTGAGAATGTCAAGTGGGTTAGGCACAAATCTCCTGCACATTCAGCTTCCCAGCCTGCCCCTCAGCCCAGAATGTCCTTCACTGTATGGAAAACTCCTGCTCATTCTTCAAGACTCAGGGTTCACCTTTCTGACCCCTTCCCAATGCCTGAGAAGAATGCTCTTTGCTCTGAGCCATCACGTTACTTTTCATAAAGCCGAACAAAAGTATTTAACTCCTGGAGTTGGAGTTGTCTCCCCAACTCCATGAAGGCATTCACAGGGAAAGACACCAAGTCTCATCCATTTTATATATAATTTTTTTGGTACAGGATGAAACAACCTCAAATCCTTTTTCTTGGAAATAGAGTGGGATATCAATCAATCAATGAATCAATCAAGCATCAACCCATCCACTCATCCATCCATCAATTCCCACTGCTATATCCCCACTGTGGAACCCAGGGCCTGGCACATAGTAGGTATTCAATAGGAGTATGCTGAATACAGAATGAAGAGATGGAAACAGAAAATATTCTTACCAGATTTCTTTTTCCCAAGGTGCTCTCTGTACAGGAAAGAATGGGGTGGGAAAGAGTGATGAGTCAGTACGTGTGTATTGACATGAGTTATTCCATTAGGAAACTGATTCTCCATCCCATACCAGTGAATGAATGAAATCCAAATCAACCCCAGGTGCCCAGACTTCTTAAAAAAGATATAATTCCTCTTAATTTTCTTCCTTTGCCTGATAAGCGCTCTGGGACCCTGGGGCCAGTATCTCCATATCTTCGTAAAGTGGAGGGCCTTGGGGAGGAGCTGAAAGGGGCTACATAGTCTGAAAACAGGAGTTAGGCCCCCACGTTGCACAGAGCCTGAAGCCTACCTTGTCGGGTATAGCAGAGGTCCCTGTCCCACTTCTTGGGTCCCCCAAGCCATAGACATAGAGCAGAAAGTGCTTGGCAGTAAGCGGTAAGGGAAACACACCAAAACTGGGAAGAAGCCTGGATGGCAGTGAACACAGCACATCTCCCTAACGGTGATATGCGAGACACTAATATAGGCTAGAATTCACAGGAAATAATGAATAATGGTCCCTTTACATTTGTCAACCATGTCAGTGTCTGTGGAACACTGGCTGCCTTGCCAGCAGACTGTAAGCTCCCTGCAGGCATGGCCTGTGCCTGTCCTGCTCATCTCTGTGTCCTGGTGCCTGGCACTGGGCCTGGCGCTTGCCCTGGCAGGCCTTCTATACCTATTTGCTGAATGGACGAACAATGCCAGCACTCCTGGCTGGACAGAACACCAGGTCAAAGACTCCTGGTCCTTGGAGAGGACAGTGGGCAACCCCTGGCCTAGCTCTCCTCCACTGGTGTGTCTATGATGGTCTGACACTTGCTCAGAGGCTGGGGACCCACTTTGACCACCCTGGCCAGGGAGGAGGCCAAAGACATCCTAGCATTAACAACTGTGGGGTTCTGCATAAATAGGAACCTCCTGAAACTGTGGGAGAGGAAAGAAAGCTTCTATTGGAATCTCCAAGTGGCCCATGGTCTGCTTCCCAAAGTTAAGATCTCTGGGACACTGAGATGAGGTAGAAGAAAATTTAGATACCACTGAACCCAGCAGCCCGATGAACACATGCCATGACCAATACTCCTCCTCTGGTGGTGGCGGCCAGTGTTCCTTTTTCCTTCTGTTCTTGGGCAATAAGTAAGATTTGTAGAGCACTTCCCCAGTGCTTTTCTCTACATCTTCTCATTTGAGTCCCCAAGCAATGACGTGAAGGACGTGTCATTAGGCCCACTTTATAAAAGAAGAGACTGAGGCACAGGAACAGGAAACAACCCGCCCAAGCTCACCAAGCTTGAGATTGCTTGTTATGGACTGAATGTCTGTGTCCTCCCAATACATATGTTGAAGTCCTAACCCCCAGTGTGATGGTATTTGGAGATGGAGCCTTTGGGGAGGTGATTAGGTCATGAAGGTGAAGCCCCCATGATGCGATTCGTGCCATTATAAGAAGACACATGAGAGAGCTGGCTTTTTTCTCTCTCTCCACCCTGTGAGGACACAGCGAGAAGGCTTCCATCTGTAAATGAGGAAGTGGCTGTCACCAGGAGCCGAAATGGTTGGCACCTTGATCTTGGACTTCCTAGCCTCTAGAACTGTGAGAAATAAATTTATAAATTTATAAATTTATAAACTGTGAGAAATAAATTTATAAATTTATAAATTTATAAACTGTGAGAAATAAATAAATAAATAAAGTCACCCAGTCTGTGGGATTTTTCTTATGACAGCTCAAATAGACTAAGACAACGGTCAAGCCACTTTCCAATCTGAGGGCGTATCAAGCTGGGCACCTTGATCAACCAGTAAGAGGTAGAGTTGGAATAAAAACAGCCATGTCTGGGCATTCAGAGAGAAACAATACAATGAGCCTCCACGTTCTGAGCAGCTGGCATGTTCTAGAATTTTTGCTGAGGGCAGTCTTTCAACCCTCACCGTTACCCTGACGAATGCTGCTAATCCTTTGTCACAGTGGAGTAAATTGAAGCCCTGAGGCAAAGTGAGGAGACCTGAGGCTAGGAGTGCGTGAGTGGTGGAGGCAGGATCCGAACCTGGGTATACCCATTCTGAACCCAGGCTCTTTTCTATTAAAGGGGTATACCGTACACAGAGGCTGCACAGAGCTTAGGTTCAGACTGGGAAAATTCATTTCTACCTCTTCCAAACTGTGTGACCTCGGGCAAGTCTCTTTTATTATTCTGAGCCTCAGCTTCCTCATCTGTAAAATGGGAATGACGGTTTTTTATCTGAAAGTTTTGTGAGAGAATGAAGTGGAAATGGAACACGATAAGCTCTAGTCTTTTGATTCATCTTGTCTAGAAATAATAACTGAATCCAGAGGCTATGAGCCTGAGCTGGCTGTTTAATCCTGAAAGCCCAGGAGGACTGTAGACAAAGGTGCTTTGAGAATATTTCACTGTCTTGTGATGCTGATAAATGCTGGGAAATATTTACCAGACACGAACACTTTAAAGACACTAAGAACTCAAACATTAGCCAGTACAGACTATAAAGACCCAGTATTACTAGATTTATATTTATTCTGTATTTTTATTACTTTTTTTCACTTCATGGAACTGTGTCTTGGCTCCTATGTTGGCTTGACATTTCCTTGTGATCTAACTCAAAACATTTACTGTTGTCTCTTATGGAATGTCTTCCTTGATTCCAAAGCTACATGCTTCTGTGTGTTCACTATGAGAAGCTGTATTTACTTACTCTGTGCTTGTCGCAGGAAATGGTATTTATTGGAATAGAGATTTATTGTAGTAAGTTAAGTTTACTCTTCTGTGTGGTAGTTAAAACATTAGTCCTGAGTGATCACTCAGAGGTCTGTGACCTCTGAACTTGACTCTGGATATTGCCACATATGTATATATATAAATGGCCCGACTTCACTTGTTAAAATTCTTTGATGCTTTCTCCTTACAAATTTATTCTAAAAATGAGTTTTGTGACTCCAACAGATACATTTCCAAAAAGCAACATGTGTCTTTCTATCTTGATGTATATAAAGTGCTCAGCATGCTACCCAACATATTGTGGTCATGTAACAAACCTAAGCCTCGGTTATTATTGCTGCGTTGGGCAATCAGTAAGCTCAAAGCTAAGAAGAGCAGTTCTCACTTTTGTAACAGAGCCTGGCTGGCACCGGCCCTTCCTGATAGTGCCCAAATGGACCCCAAATTCTGCTGACTCTTGCTCCTGTGACCCCAGGATGGTTCCAGCACCTGTAGGCTGGTCTCCTTTTCCTACTGTGATTTCTCCACTAGCCAGATCCCTTCTTTCTGCAGATATGCCTGGCGCCTTTCCCAGAAAAGCACTTTTTGAAAAGCACTATGTGTACATCAGTGTTTCAGACTGGCAGCATGTTGGTGTGTAAACGCTGGAGGGCAGGTGGCGCTTAGATTTTGTGCAGTATGCAGTGTGGCCTGTGTGGCTGTGGCTGCTGGATATGAAGTGATAGGCATCCGGGTGTGCTGCCTGTCCACTGTAGGGAGCAGTCACAGGGAGGCAGGGTGGTGGTGGACATTCAGGACAGCTTTGGAGCCTCACTAATCAGGGTCAAATCCTGGCTCTGTTATTGGCAATGGGACCTTGAGCAGGTGTCAGTCACTCATTCACATCCCTAATTGTTCCTGGGCATACCTCCCTCCATGGGCCAGACAATGAGATGAATCTACTGCCCAGTCCCTGCGTCACAGGCTCACAGTCTACCCAATTCTAATATACTTGGATAAGTGCTGTGGGTGAGTGCAGAGTACTATGGGACTACAGGAGTGGCCCTCAGCCAGTTTCCTTCACCTGCCAAATGGGACTATCATTACCCTCTTAGCAACTGTGAGGACCAAATGAAGTGAGGTCTTGCAGGGGCTCAATCCATGAAATCCAGCTTGATTTTTGCTTTGCTTTCCCATGGGGCTGGCTGGACCAGCAGGAGGGAGGGCTGTGAGGACACAATCTGGGGAGGTCCACAAACCAACTTACTCTTTGGGGGGATTCAGGTCTTCAGGTCTTGTCTCAAAGAACTGAAGCACCTCATCACACTGAGAGATATAGGGGGGCAGCTGGATCAGGGCCTGGAGGAGAGAGACACAGGTGAGTCCAAAGGAAGGAGAGGGTGTTAGGAATGCCACATGCCAGAGGTTCTCAAACTCCTGATGTTCTCAGGCTTCGGAATCACCAGGAGGGGTTGTTAAAGCAAAGATCGTTGGGCCCCACCTCAAACTTTCTGATTCAATATGTCTGCAGTGGCGTCTGAAAGTGTGCAATTCTAACAAGTTTCCTGCTGACGCTGCTGGCTTGGGGAACACCCACATACACACATACACACACACATATACACAACATGTATATGTATATTTTAGGTGTATTTGGACAAATAATATATAAATATTTACACAAAAAAAGACCATATTGTACATGCTATTTTGTAAACTCATGCTTTCACTTAACAGTAAATTGTGAACTTCATGCCGTATCATTATTCTTCTACAACATCTTCTATACTGGATATTGGGCATCTACTGTATAGATGTATCACTTTATTCAACCAGTCGCCTACTGGTAAACATCTAGTTGTTTCCAACATGCTTGCATGTATGTCTTTTTTTTTTTTTTTGTCTTTTGTCTTTTTCCGTGTCCGGCAACGGATCGCAACCCTCAGTGTTGCCCCTGTACTGGACAGGGACCGGCAACGGGATTGCAACCCTCGGCGTTGCCCCCGCGCCTTGCTCAGCCCGTGAGCGGGAACCGGTCTGTACGTGGGATCCGAACCCTCGGGCGGGAGCGCCGCCGCGCTTCCCAAGCGGCGCACTTATCCAGTGCGCCACCAGGCCGGCCCCTTGCATGTATGTCTTGACTCACAAATCTGAAGCGTTAAAGTAAAGGGACTATTTTATGATTTGGATAGAGGTTAGAAGCCTCCAGGTTAAAGAGAAGTTGAAACATCCCGAATCTCCCACTGGCCAATTCCATGTTAATCTGCCACAGCAGCTCATCAGCTGGGTCGTGAAGGAACCTCCACTGTGTCTGCCAACAGGCTGGATAAGGAGGTGGGTTTAGGACACAAAGTGGGGCAAGGCATTTGTGGTGTCAGTTTGTCTACCAACAGGGACTCATTCAGTGATTCAATGGGCATTCTTTGTGTCCAGCACTGCACTGGTTTTATGCCAAATACAAGAGAAGTATAAGGTACATCCTGCTCATTAAAGGATTTGAAACTAAGATATGGCTCCATAATGAATAAAGAGCTCAGTTTAAAAAATATTTACTAAGCCCCCTCTGGCCCAGGTCCTGGACAGAGGTGATGGGGACACAGAGGTGAGTGCAGTAGAGTCAGTTCCTGCACACATTTAATTACAAACAACTGTGCAGGGACAGCAAACCTGTATATTCATGAATTTAAATAGCATTATTTAATGCCAGCCACATCACCCCACCAGCGCATGCTCTGCAGTGAAGCGGGTCTCTGTTCTCTCCTAGAAGGCCTCAGTTCCTTGGTTCCTCTCATGTGCCTTCTCACCATGCTGAGCATGAGTCTGGGGTCTGGGGCAGAAGGGACATGTCTTGTATTTTCTATATAACCAGCCCTTAAAAGCTCACTACCTCCACACTCAAAAGTGATGTGTCAACTTTGCAGGGTTATTGGATATGGATAGACCAACAGAGAGACACATAGAGGTCTCCAATGTGGCACCTCCTACAGGGTTTCAGAGGTATTTTGATCCTACATGATTATTTCCCCCATTAAAAAACCTTTAATTGTGGCACAATACACATAATACGAGAGGTCTTCAAAAAGTTCATGGGAAGATTTGTATTATCTTTTAATTCTATTTTTCCATGAACTTTTTGAAGTACCCTCAAATACTTGTGAAATTGGCCATCTTAACCATTTTCAAGTATATGGTTCAGTGGCATTAAATACATTCACACTGTTGTGCTGCTGTCACCACTGTCCATCGACAGAAGTCTTTTCATCTTGCAAAACTAAAACTCTGTGCACACTAAACAATAACTCCCCTTCCCCCTCCCCACTTCAATCATTCTACCTTCTGTCTCTGAATTGACTACCCTCAGTTCCTCATATAAATGGAATCATACAGTAGTTGTCCTTTTGTGTCTGGCTGATTTCATTCAGCATGTTCATCCATTCAAGATTTATCCATGTTGCAGAACATACCAGAATTTCCTTCCTTTTTAAGGCTGAATAACATTCCATTGTATGTATATACTGTACCACATTTGATTATCCATTTATCCATTGATGGACACTTGGGTTGCTGACCCTACATGATTTTTGAGTCAGGTTCTAATTTTAAGTCAACCCCCCCCACCACCACCAAATGCAACTTGCCCCAGACCTACATCAGAAAAACAACGTGAGGTGGGCAGATGGTTTAGTAAGGTATCTTCCCTAATCCTTATCTACTCTTCCATCTTTCTGGGGTGAAGGATGCTGACTGAAAGGGCTCACTGATTTTTTAAAAATCAGCCTTTAGGTAGCTCCTGCTCTGCAGCAAATCCCAGGGACTGACCTTTTCCATGTCTGAGGCAGAGAGTCCTAGAGGGAGAAGAGCAAGCACTTCCCTCCCCCATCTCCAGTTTCTGATCCCCCCTTATTTTTCTGGTTCAGAGCAGTGACTGGCCATTCCCCCACTTTCCTCTGAAATCCTGCAGCTCTTGCAGTTGGAACCACATAATGAAGGTACTGATTACACGCTGGACTGTGGTGAGTCCTGGCTGCTTTGTGTGCAAATATCTTGTGGCTTCCCCAGACTGCAATCACAACACTCCCTGACGCTGGCTCACACTTGGTGGCTCCTGAAGTGCATTTATCTGCGTCACTGAATGAGTGTATAATCTTGGGAGGGCTGGCCCATTCTAAAGATGGGGACATGGAGGCTCTGGTGAGGTGACGTGGACTTGAGAGTCCAGGTCTGGCTGACTCCAATCTTCTACCCCAAATCCACGTGGGCACAGAGGGCTCTTTCTCCTCCACCTTCCCTACATGTCTATACAGTGCTGGGGAGACCCACGAAATCTGGCCAAAAAGTATCCGCTGGATAAACATGAGGGAGAGGCTGGACCTGGCCACGTGGCCCCATTAGAGGAGAGCTGGTGGGCACAGGGCATGAGCCCCTGTGGTGATCATCGTCTCTGCCTGGAGGATGCCTCCCAGGGAGCTCCTTGCTGAGGTGGGCAGAGGCCCCAAATGGACCAGCAAGGGGAAGAAACAACGAAAACCTTCTGACATGGAAACCTTCTGACAACGCCAAGCTCTCTTCTGGTTTTGAGCTATTGCTAGGAAGTGAAAGCCAAACCAAACTCCCAAACCATAAAATAAGCTAAGTTACTAATAAAAGGCAGCACTGAACACTTTGATGTTTGTCCTCTCATTGTGGATGAACTGGCTAACAATAAAAAATGACCCAGGGCAGAGAAAGGATTCTGCTTCTGAAACACTCCAGGAGTGTCTTGTGTTTGGTTGGTACTGACAAAGAATCATAGTTCCAGAAGACTCATTTTGGTTCCAGAAGGAATCCTGGCCCACTGGACAGATGTGACTGGTCGGTGCAGGGACAAGAGAAGAGAGCAAGTCCTGCTTGCTGGGGGTGATGATAGGAGATCAGGCAGAATTAGCTCCTGATTCTAGCTCTGTCACTTCTTAACAGTGTGTCTCTGGCCAAGTTCCATGACCTCTCTGAACCTCAGTCTGCTCATCTGTAAAATGGAAATAAAAACCACCCATCTCAGAGGGCTGTGCTACAGAATAAGCATGGAAGTGACTGTAAGGTTTCTGTCTTATACTAGCTGCTTGACAAACAGTAGTTAACCCCTTTGACTCTCTGTATTGTACCAAGTACAATAATATCGTGGTTCCCATAGATGATTTCAGAAGCAGCAAGATGCTTATGGTAAATAACAATGCCGTGGCTAGGAAGTAAGTTCGTATTTTTTCAGTTCTTTTAATCCTCTTTAACTTCAAAAAGAATTCCCCAGAGACATAGAACTTCTCTAACATGCTTCCTGAGAGCAGGACCAGACTCTGCAGAGCTCAGGTAGACATGCAACAGCTACCTAGACTTAAGAACATTTTTTGTTTCTATTTTTACTTTTATGGCATGATACCAGTTTTATATTATGGTTGTGATATAAAGTTTCCTCTAAAGTATATTATTTTAAGAAGTTCAAAAAGTGAGCTAATTTAAAGAAAAGTATTAATTATAATATAGGTGGTAGTGTATGATGAAAATCTGGAAGGAGGCCTCAAGTACTGGAGTCTGGTAAATACAGTTGTTATGTTATCTATAGTTTACTTTCTCAGAGAGGCCATAAGTGGTTTGTGAGTGTCCAGGCACAAAAGGCTTGGGTTCCGTTCTCAAACTCTTCAATACTATTGTCGTAAGTAAATTTGCTAGGGTGCCATTTCCTCATCTACACAATGGGAATAATAAAACCTACTTCTCAACGTCGTTGGAGGGATGAATGAGGTCGTGTCTGGCAAAGAGGAGACGCTCAGTCAGGAGTGGTTCTACCCTTCCTTGACATCTCCTGCCAAGAGAGGGTCATCTGTCCCCACACTGCCCCTTTTTGTTTAAAATTTTTTTACAGATTTATTGAGTTATAATTTACGTACCATAAAATTTACTCATGATAAGTGCCCAATCCAATGATATTTAGTAAATGACGGAGTTGTGCAACCATCGCCACAATCTAGTTTTAGAACTTTTCCATCCCCTCTAAATTTCTCCCAACCTAATTTACAGTCTATCTCCACTTCCACTGCCCCCAGGCCCAGGAAACCACAAGCTGCTTTCTGTCTCTATAAATGTGCCTTTTCTGCACATTTCATATAAATGGAATCATACAATATGTAGGCTTTTGCATCGGGCTTCTTTCACATAGCATCATGTTTTTGAGATTCATCCAGGTTGTAGCATTTATCAGTATTTCGCTGCTTTTTTATTGCCAATTAATATTATATTGTATGGATATTCCATATTTTCTTTATCCATTCACCAGTTGATGGACATGTGGATTGCTTCCATTTTTTAGGCTATTATGAATTAACACTGCTATGAACATTTGCTTCCACGTCTTTGTGTGGACCTAAGTTTTCAATTTTCTTGAGTATATACCTAAGAGTGGTCTTATACTCAGTTTAACTTCTGAAGAAATTGCCAAATGTTTTCCAAAGTGGCTTCCCATCTTATGCCCCACCAGAATGAAAGCTCTATTTTCTCCACATTCTTACCAACACTTGGTATTATCTGTCTTGTTGATTATAGCCATTTCAGTGGCTGTGTAAGTATCTCATCATGGCTTTATTTTGCATTACCCTAATGACTAATGATGCTGAACATCTTTTCATGTGCTTATTAGTCATTCCTATGTCTGCTTGGGTGAAATTTTTATTAAAGATTTTTTCCCATTTTAAAATTTGGTTGTCTTTTTATTATTGAGTTGTAAGAGTTCTTTATGTATTTTCAATACAAGTTCCTTATCAGATATGATTTACAAATATTTTCTCCCAGATTGTGACAGACAGGTCTTTTCATTTTCTTTTTTTCTTCATTTTTTTTTTTTTTTAATGACCGGTAAGGGGACCGCAACCCCTGGCCTGGTGTCCACACCGCGCTCAGCCAGCGAGTGCACCGGCTACCCCCATATAGGACCCGAACCCGTGGCGGGAGTGCCACTGCCCGAGTGTGCCATGGGGCCCGGCCCTCTTTTCATTTTCTTAATGGTATCTTTTGAGGTATGGAAGTTTGTAAGTAGATTTAATAAAGTCCAATTTTACCAGTTTTTCTTTTATGGCTTATACTTTTGGTGTCATATCTGAAAACCCTTTGCCTAACCCAAGGTCATAAAGCTTTTCTTCTATGTTTTCTTCCAGCAGTTTTATAGTTTCAACTCTTGTATTTAGGTCTATGATTCACTTTGAGTTGATTTCTGTGCATGGTATGAGATAAGGGTCCAACTTTATTCATCCCTCCTAGGTTGAGGGTGACCATAGGTGACTTTTTTTTCTTTACATTTATTTCAACCGTATAAATTATTCATAATGAGCATCTCATAACCAGAAAGGAAACGAAAGACCAAGTTGGCGTTTCTCAGCCTTACCTTACAGTATTCATCAATTGGTATCAGGCGTTTGACAGCCACGTCCCGGATGTGGCTTCGTCGAAAGAGAATTTTGCCTGCAGAGGATGACAGCACATACAGTGATGTAAGGGAGCAGTGACCAGCTCTCAGTGACCTGAGAGGGTGTGGATGTGGCTGTCTCTGGGATAGGTCTGAGTGGCACCAAAATTCCTGGCTGCCACCAATACTGCCCGGCTGGACTTCCACAGGGCTTGGATAACCCCGTATGTGGTCCCCTAAAGCCCTGTTCATGGCTCTAGTATAAGGGACTGAGGGAACTGGACCTAGTGAGTAAGTTTTGGCGAGATAAGGGAGGCTGGAAACAGTCCGTGAAAGGAAGGGGCCCCTACCGGGATCCTAGAATCAGATGAAACTCATATCATCAGTTGAACCTTAGATCCTGTCCAAACCCAGGATTCTCAGACTGGGTGAGCACACAGCGGATACCCAGATAAAATAGTTCAGTCTCCTTTCCTCATTCACCTTCCACTCTCATCTTGTGTACCCTAGACCCCCCATGCTCTTTCATGATTTTGGGCCTCCCCTCTACCTGGGGTACCCTCCCCTTCCTACCCCACCCAGCACCCTTGATAGGAAACTCCTACTCCCCTCAAATGGGTTAAGAGTTCCTGCCTCTTTCTGATCGCCCACATCACATTATTTATTTTTACAGGCCTCCTTTCCTACTAGTCATGGGGTCTGCCCAAGTAGGGATTGATTGGGCCTCAGTCCATTTTGCGGCACTGAAGTTTGATAAATGTATGGATGTGGCTTCCACCTGCAAAGATGACAAATCCCTCCAATTCCTTTCCCAATTAGTGTTTGTAACAGTAGGGTTCCGAGTCTTCAGGATTTTAAATTTCCCACTTCCCACTTCACCAAATACTAACTGAGACATCCTAAACGCTGGGGCATTGTGCTGCAAACCTACAGGATGACATATGGGCAGAGAATGTGCATCACAGAAGAATACAGGCATCCACATGATGCCACTGAAGATCCTTGGAAATATCCAAGATGTTGAAATGTTATGGGGGAGGTTTGCTAAAGCAAATCAGTGGGTCCCCAAGGGTTTAGATAGGAGATTCTCTCTTAGGGAGACGGTGACAAAGAGCATGCATTCAAGAGCAAGACAACCCAGGCTCACTGCTCTGGATGCATCCCACAGGCAGCGGGTGGCAGAAATTCACAATAAAATCTCAAGGAGGGCCAAAGAGATGAAGGATGGAGACAAGCCTCATGCAGCGGGACAAGGAGGTCTCTATGGGTAGGTCAAAGAGGAAAGTACAGGAAGACCAGAGCTACTCCAGAGCGCAGGGCATGGAGGTCTACTAAGGGCTTTACCTATTTCGGGTCCTAGGAGGTAGGTCAAGGAGAGAAATTTGGGTCAGGAGTGTGGCAGGCTGAGGAGAGATTACCATTGATTTCAGATGGCTTCTGGTAAGACCTTTGTCTCCACAGATCAAGCTTGGGTGAGCAGGGATAGGATGGTGGAGAAGGTTAGTAAGAGTTTTCATGATATAACAGAATCAAAAGGGATGTTGAAAAACAACCAAGTGACTTCTAAAGATCTGCAGTGCAAGGTTGTAAGGGAGATTTGCACCCAAAAAGACCCTATGGCTAATACAACATCTTAACTAACTTTGCCAACTTGCTCTTGTGCAAAAGGGCACTATCAGGAAATTAGATAGCTATAGTCAGCAGAGAGTACGCCTTTTTTTTTTTTTTTTTTTTTCCTTTTTATGAGATAATAAATGGGTAATGCTTTAAGCTGTTAAACTGGTGGTAATTGTTACACAGGAATAGAAAACGAATACATTGGCTATAGCAGCAGACACCACTCACTACAAAAAATGTTTTTCCTGGGGGAGGGAGAGCAGGGTAAGGGAGGAACCGGTAAAGGGCCACAAAAAACAATTACATTGTATAATGTATGCTATACGAAGTTATTACGAGTGCGCCACCGGGCCGGCCCCAGAGAGTACGCCTTTTTGGGCTCATTTCCACCAATTAAAAAAAAAACCACCACCACAGTAAGATGACATATATATTCCTTAAAAATAAGGAATATCCTTTCTTTATAATGGTAGTGGTTTTAATTCTGCTTATGAGTCAGCCAGATTTCTGATACACCTGTGCTTGTTAGAAAGGCAAAATTAGAAGAAAATGCATCACAGGGTTCAAAGTGCTAATCTCTGAAGGGTGGAAGACAGGGAAATTTTGTTTTCTTCTTTATAATTTCCCCAAAAATATTTATTGCTTCTAGAATCAGGAAATGTTCATATCACAAAGAACAAAAAAAGAAAATTATGCAGCAAAGTGGGAAGGGGTTTACAACCCGATTCCCCTGGCACCGATGCTCTCACTCCTTCATTCACTTGATAGGTGCAGCCCTTTCTGTGCCGGTGCTGGGGGCCAGTGGGGTGCAAGATGGCTGCGGGCCTGGCCTCCTGGCATGAAGTGTTGGTGTTTCCCTACAAGGAAGGACCCTGAGGACATTTTGGGTGGGACGATCTTTCCCTGGACTGTCCCCATCCTGCAGTGTGTTTAGCATCTTTGGTCCAAATGTGGATTAATCTGGTAGCCCTTCCCAACCCCATCCCTCCCCCAGTCATTATGACAATCAAATACCTCCTGTTCCCATATTCATTGGCCCTCATGGGTGGGACTACTGTGATTTGGAACCCTCAGGAGTGTCCTGAGCTTTCAGCAAATATAAGGAATGTGTGCCTGGAAAGAGAGACCCTGCACAGCAGATACTTCCCTCCCTCTTAGTACTTCTCGAAATGGGAGCGGAGTCCATAACCAAAAGTATTTTGGTCCCATTTTAGTACGATTTGGTTGTAAGCAGGATCAAAATATTTACAACCGGCATGGTACTGGCCCTGGCCTGCGAAAGTGGGCACAGGCCCATGATGAGGCCACCACACAGCTAAAGAGCTCCATGGTGAGGATTCACCCAAGGCTCAGCCTACGGGAGCCGAGAGAAGGACAGAAAACTCAGGGGCTTTCAGTGTTTCCCACGGGTGTGACACGAGGACAAAAGTGTCACTCCTTTCCCTATGTGGTCTCAGTGGGACAGGGATCTCTGGGTGCATATCTGGTGCCCTGCCAGAAAGGGGGGCCGGAAGCCCCATGGCAGCAGTGGGGACTGCTGAGGCCACAGGCCAACCCCTAGGCTTCCTCCTGCTGGCTATGCAGCCTTGGGTAAATGCATTTACCTCACAGAGCCTCAGTCTCCTCATCTGTAAAATGGGAGAGCAGCCCTTATCTCTAAGAGGTAATCTCCACAGGGCTGGCACTTAGTAGGTGCTCACAAAGGGGCAATTACTTTTTTTTGTAGTAGCACTTTAGATGATATTGCATTACACTTGCAATTAAGAGCACACACTCTTTCCTCAGCCTCCTGCTTTCTTTGCTCTGCCTCCTTGGGTTAATGCACCATTTACTTGCAGCAGAGCTGGAGTGACTGCTCAGGCCCCAGCTATGGGGCAGAGCCATGTGGCCAGTGGTTTAGGCACAAGAACCAGCCCCTCTTTGGCCAGTGCCTCCCCACTGAAGGGCTAATGGGGCAGTGGCCCCTCGTCTGTGCCTGACATGAAGCATTTCTGTGTGTTTCGGGGAAGGAGGGCGAGCCTGCCACCTTCCTGGACTGGAAAGGGTGCTCAGGGGAGAGAACAGCCTTTGGTGGGAACGGGTCGGCTTTTGTTTTCCACAGTGGAGAAAGGCCAAACTGTAATTCTTATTTTTCAAGCTGCATCCTCTGCCAAGTTGGCTTCCCCAGCTCCTGCTGGGATGGAAAATTGCAGGGGCTGTGCTCCCCTCCCCCTGCCTTTGTGCTAACATGAGACTGGCTTTTGTTCTGCTGATGCGGCAGTCTTGGCAGAAAATTGACCCCTAGGAGAGGGGACGTTTCTCTCGTGCTTCCCTGCCCTTGGCCTTGGCCTTGAGAAAAAACTAAGAGGTGGGCTCAGAAAGGATGCTACGGGGGTCTTGGGGCCCATCGGGACCTCTCCAAGCTACAAGTGGGTGCCTTGAGCAGGGACAAAGGGGCCAAGTCCTTAAGAATAGCATTTTCATTAATTCTTGGGTGGAAAAGGATTACGTAACCACAAAAGCTTTTAAGAGCTCGGGAGAGGGTCGGCTCAAGTTCTCTGTCTTGGGAAGTTTTTCCAGAGCTGGGTTTGCCTTTCATCCAGTAAAGAGTTATAACTCACTGCTTTCCTTTCCTTTCTTGAAGAAAAACCTACATTTAGAGCCCAGTTTAACTTTATATCCAGATTGGTCACTGGTCAAGAATGACTCCAACATATGAAACCCAGAAATTTCAAAGAAATGTTCAGGGACCCTGTTTCTGCCTTTACTGAGAACCTACTATGTGCCCAAGGATTGAATCTTGTGAAGCAGGGTCTACTGTCCCATTTTTTTTTCCTTTTTGTCTTTTTTCGTGTCCGGCAACGGACCGCAACCCTCAGTGTCGCGCCCGTACCGGACCGGGACCGGCAACGGGATCGCAACCCTCGGTGCTGCGCCCGCCCCTCGCTCAGCCAGTGAGCGGGAACCGGTCTGTATGTGGGATCCGAACCCTCGGCGGGAGCGCCGCTGCGCTCCCAAGCGGCGCACTGTAGTAGTGCGCCACCGGGCCGGCCCCTACTGTCCCATTTTTAACAGATGTAGAAACTGAGGCTCAGAGGGGGAATGCGCCTGCTTGAGGTCACAGGGCTGGGTCTGCTTGACTCCAAAGCACGTGCCTTCGAGCCCTGATATTTGGCTGTGGCAGCTGGCACACTGGGTTTTCTCCAGCAGGAAAAAATATTCCAGCGTGGTTGTACACTTTCCCAGTGGAGGAACTAAAAATGTTAGCTTTTTTAGGCAAAGGATTCTCTCAGTGGAGGAGGGCCTGGCAAACACATCTACCCCTTCTCTCAACCTATTCAATGATGATGACATCTGGAAGAACCCACTGATGTCCTGGAGTGGGGGACAGGAGATAGGGTGCTTGTGGGACCCAGGGAGTCTCGCCCCATCTCTGAGCCTGTTCCCTCGTATGAAATAGAAAAAAGATCTAAAAGGCCCTCCTCATCAGTTTGCTAATTATCTGTACATAAAAATAATAATAGTAAGTGCCTGATGGCCATTAGCTACCTGTCAGGCATTTACAAAATCCTCATAACAACTCCACCATTTAAGTACCATTATCATCTCCAACTTGCATATGAAGAAATGAAACTCAGTGTGCTTAAGTGATTTACCCCAGGTAGCAGAGTTGGTGAGTGGGGGGCACTGGGATTCAAACCCAGGTCGTCTGACTCCAGGCATGAACTCTGGAGCCAGCCATACCTGTGTTTGAATCCCAAGCAAGTGCTTATAGCTTTTCTGAGCCTCAATTTCCTCACTGTTAAGTGGGCATAATGCCTACCCTGCAGGA